AGGAGAAGTGCTTAAATAAAGTAAATAATGCCAGATTCCTGCACTCAGAGTTCCCAATCTCAAGAAAGAGATACACAAATCACTTACTAGAATCCCAAATGGATAGAGCTGAGCTGATAACATGAACAAAAAGCTGTTGAGAAGAGAGGAAGAAAACAATTCTAGCAGAGATCATTGGAGAAGGCTTCCAGAATCTAAGATGTTTTATCTGAATCCTAAAGGGTAGTACAAGTTTACCAGAAAGAGCGTGTGGTGGGGTGAGGTGGTAAGGAGGGAATTCCAGACAAAGAGAAAACCATGGAAACCAAAAAGGACATCATCATCATCATCATCATCATCATCATCATCATTGTGTATTCAGGGAATATCAAGTTCTTTCTGCTGTTAACTAGCAGGGCAAATTACTAATCACTAGTCTTTGATAATTAGTTACTAATCTTTGGCAAGTTACTAAGTCACTCTGTGCCTTGGTTTACTAATCCCTAAAATGAAAGGAGACTAGTATCTACTTTGAAAGGTCATTGTGACAATTCAATGAGAGCTGTATTTATATACAAAGAGCTTAGTTCCCGGCACATGCCAGGCTCTCAGGGTGGTTAAAGCCTGGGGTATGTGAGGAACAGGGATCAGGCGTGGAAGGCCACCTCTGAGGCTGGATGCTGTCTGCAAGGGGCTTTGCATGCCATGCTAAGGACGTCAGACTTTATCCTGCAGGCACAGGGATTTTGAACAGACATTTCATTTCATTTTTAGGAGCACAGTCCTGGCAACAGTTTAGAGGAAGGGTTCGCTTACATTTCACACTCTCGCTGACCTCTACGTAAGAGCTTTCTTGTACTGTAATCCTCTACTGTATCATTTAGAGCAGATTTGAAATTTTAGATCATTTCTATTCACATTATTTTTTTCCTCAGGTCAATTTTAATTTCAACTCTATTTGTGGATTATTGAAATACTATAGGGTATATCCTTAGATCTGTCTTTCTTCTAAGTAGATATCTTCTTCTAAGATATACATTCTGAGGAAATATTCTTTCTTCCAGAGAATAATTGGACAGACTTTGCTTTTCAGTTTTCTTTGTGACATCTGGTTTGATGCAATGGAACTTGTTCTAAGTCAATGATACTGTATTTGATAATGTGATTCCGCCAGTTTACCCAGAGCCAGTACTGTGTAAAAGGATTTAAACACATACCTATAATTAGCATTCTAGAACATAAAATCTGTGCCATATCTCCATCAATTCATTCATTTGTAACATATAACTTTCTTGCCTTTTTCAGTCTGGGTAGTTATGAGGAAATGTTCAATATATTAACCATAACAAATACCATATGGTATACTACTGGGTTTCAAAGCACTTTTTCCATGTTTTTCTTTTTCCAGTTATATTAACTTCCCCTTTTCTGTCATCACTGTTTTTTGTGGGTTTCTTCTTTAAATCCCTTACAGCTCTCTTCAGTTACAAAGCTCTTACATTAAGTATGGTTTTTCTAAGGCTAGTATGACATCCTACAAGTATCCAATCCATTTAAATGTGTGGGCAATAATCTGGAAGTTTCTAAATCTGCCTTGGGCAGAAATTAAATATCTGGAGATTGGAAATAAGTGGCCAATATAGTCATGGAAACAGTTCACTTCTGCCGTGTTCCTAGGTGCTGAAGATATTTTCTAAGGAAAGACAATGCTTTAAATAGGCATTATCTAATTTAGTTTCTAAAAGCGTATAGAGTCTGTGACATTCTCTATAGTGGGTAAATGTGGGTTTTTTTAATCAGTTCCACTTGTTCAGGGAAATGGGACCAATGGCATCAATAAATGACATATTAAGGCAGATGGACAAAAAGGCCGGAAAAGTGTACAACAGGACAAAGTTCTTTCTTCTCTTCAAACCTGTATTCTGAACCTCTGGAAACTCAAATGAGAGAAAGCATAGCCTATAAATAAATAAATAAATAAATAAATAAATAAATAAATAAATAAATAGTATTGCCATATTCTGGAGACTTCTTGGTGTCTCCACTTTCGTGACTGTGACCTTTATCCTTACTCATTTTCCTGAAAAAGATTTTTCAAAAGAAATGATAGCACTGGGGGCTGTGCGAGGTTTTTTCAATATAAGATAAATGGAACAAGGCTAAACTCAAAGGCTTTTATTATAGGCAAGAAAGAATGAGGTCTCAGAGATTTCCAGTCTATCTTAAAATTTATTCTTCTATACTGAGAGGGAAAAAAGGAGACTCAAATACCAGCTCTCCTTCCCTCAGGAAAAGGAGTACAGTTAATTCTCCAACAATGAGAGACTACATAGACAAATGACTTTAATGTGGTTGAAACACTAGGGATGCTCTTCACTCCACAAAGCCATCAGTCCAGTCCTACTGAGAAATAAAAATCATCACAACAATAAACATTCTCATAGTGCTTGCTTGGTGTCTGAGCCCTTAAATTTTATTAATTTCATACAGTAGATAAGATTATTATCATTCCCATTTTAGAGAGAAGGAAGCAGAGAGTCATTAAAGGTTGAGGGACTTCCCAGTGGATATAAGCTGATAATCGCGGAGTTGGAATTCCAACTGAGGCAATCCAGTTCCAAGGTCTGTGCTCCTAAGCACTGCCTTCTCCCAAAGGTCACATGTTACAGTTCAGGTGCATCACAATAATAACTGGAAATCAAGTTTTGCTAGTTATTTTCAGGATAATTAGAGACATGGACAAATATGTTTCGAAAGGAAAAGGAAAGTCAATGAACACGTAAGTTTTATTTTCTTCTACATGTCTACAAAAGGTCATTAAAAGGTAAATGTCCCTCTATGCTTAACTGTCTCGAAGTCTATGGAAGAAAGAGAAATAGGACATGGTAAATAATAATTATCAACAAACGTTTGTTGAATGAATGCATACAGAGAATTAATTTCTATTTATGCACTTTGGGATAGGTTAATATTTATCATCTGAGACAAATAAAAATGATGAATGATAAATAATCTGATGATGCCAGTTGTGTTTACCAAGGTTAAGAACTGAATAGAAAGGCCAATAGAATTATAAGAAATAGTGATATGCTTGAAGGAACTAAAGATAACTCACCAGAAAGGAAGAAACTATAGAAACCAGGAACACCTAATGGCTATTTCCAAACAACTGATGTCCTTTCATGTGAATCAGGGAGTAGATCTGCTCTGTCTGTGATACTTCCAGAAAACAGACATGGCCTTATAATAGAGGAAAATTACAGGTGTGCATTACAAAATAATGAGAGGCTCTATGCTAGGAATTGGGTATCAGGTAAGGCATTGGCAAGATCTCTGTCCTAACTTCAAACCCCCAAATTCTATCATTTTTCCTAGGATTTATATATGTTAATCATGTTTCAGCTTCCATGCTGGAGAGCAGTTTTACAAATGTGTTCGAGTTAAACAGAGTCAAGGACTGTGCTTATACCTGGAGATACAAGGCTGAGTAAGATTTCAAAGAAGCTCACCTTCTAGAAAGAGAGATAAAATTTTTATATTTTAGATGGCAGAGAGGTTGAAATCTGCTGAGTTCCCTGGACTCAAAGGAAAAATAGGACTTTTGAGCTGGAAGTCAATTTAAAAATGTATTCAATGATCTAAATTTTGAGAGAGAAAACTTAGGCACCAAGACACTGTGGGGACACTCTAACCTCATACTGCTAATCATTGGTTACAGTTCATTTGCCATCTATGAATTTTAATTTTAGTACTTCCATTCTGCCAATAAAAATTTTGGGCTGTTTGATGGTCATGAAATAATTCTTTTTAGGAATATCTTTTTTTCAGGTGTTTTCTTTTTTCCTAACTTTTTCCTATGATAATTATCTTCAGGCACATTTTCTCAGAAGTTTAAGTATGAAAGTGCTATACACAAATTTAGTTTTAGTATTTTTTTTTAATTATGTTCAGTTAGCCAGCATATAGTACATCATTAGTTTTTGATGTAGCGTTCAGTGATTCATTAGTTTTAGTCTTTGGAGGACAAAATGAGAAGATTCGATGTTGGTTAAGTGTGGACACTACTGGTACATAGTTTTTTGGACCAAGGCATTTTTTCCATCAGGCTGCTCTACTGTTAGCCAAAAAGGCCTGTGAGGTCCAATGTTCTTTCCTTCCTCAGAGTTACCTCTTTCTACCCAAATTAGGTAGAAGTCAAAACCCCCTTCCTTTATTCCTCACATGCACTCCATCACCAAAGCTCAGACTTCCTACTTTCATACTATAAAATACATCTATTACTTTCCATCTGCACTTTCCCATCCTTGTCCACCATAATCTTTTGCCTAAATTCCATGACACTCTTACCCAGTTGTCCTACTCCCATCCCTGGCCCTTTACAAATCATTCTTTGCACATAGTCAGGGGGAAATTTTTGTAACATAGATCACACCATCCCTCTCCTTCATAAAACCCTCAATGGATTCCCACTGCCCTTAAAACAAACTCAAAAGCACAGCCTACAAGCTCTATGTGATCTAACCCCTGAATACCTCTCCAATATCATTTCATATTCCCCTTATCCCTCTTCATTAAACACCACATGTTCCAGCCTTTTTGGTCTCAGATATACCAATCTTTTCCCTGTTTTATAGCCTTTGTGCCTTTATGGTAAGTGTTCATGCCTAAAGTACCCTTCCTCCACCTGATTGCACTGTGGCTCCTTCTCATCCATTAGTGCCTTCAAATGCAACTCCCATTACAGTCTATCTACACTTGAACCACCCACCCCTCTTCAGTTACTCTGTATCACATCACGTTGCTTTTTTCCCTCCTAATGTTTAGCACAATTTATAAATAGCCATAAATATTATTTACTTTTCATTTTTTTTCTTTCTTCCTCCTTAATAGATTGTCAATGATTACCTATCGGGTGAATTAAACTTATTTGAGAAAAAACATAGAGATTTGTTGTTGGTTTGGTCCTAAACCTCTTAAATACTGTCAATATTTTATTTCAGTGTGCTACAATAGCTTGTCTTTGTTTTGATCATTAATAATTACAAACATTCATATCGTGATTATGTCAGGCACTGTTCTGAGTCCCTACCTTTATTAAATCAGCTATTCTCCGGAAAATCCATAAAACATATACCATTATTTTCTCACACTTTACAAATGGGTAAATTGAGGCATAATTAGTTTGAGTACATAGTCCAGGGCCACTCAACTAGTTGGGCCCAGATTCAAAGCTAGCTGGTATGGCTTTAGGGTCAAGTTTCTAATTGTAAACAATGCTGCCTTTATTCATGCATTAAGCATTCTCAGGAGAAGAGGAATGCAAACCACTCCAGGTCCTGGACTACCATTCGATAAGCACACCAACAATCTACTTAAAAAGGTAAAACCTACTACCAGAAGGGTGTGTCAGTGAATATTTCACAACACCCCCAAATCAGCAGATATCTGTTATGAATGAAAAATATTTGATTCTCACTTAGAGTTTGTTGAATAGTTACCAGCTCACTCAAGTTCCCATTCATCACTGTTGCCATTCCAATGTCATATGTCATCCCAGGGGTTAAATTATCAATCTTGAATCTATTAGCATCCCTTACAAAAAGCTTCATGACTTCTCTTGTATCTGATGAGGGTTTGATTTGAATGTAGACCTCATGGCCATCTGGTGGGGATTCCCACTGAAGAATCATACTGTCCTCTCCGACATCTTCAGGTTTTGCATGAACCTTCTGAGGAGGACTAATACCTTCAAGAAACAGATAAATAGGTAACACTTATCTTAGTTTATTGTTAGCATTACTCTTGCTCTGGAGTAAAAATGTCTTAATCCAATATTACTTCATGTTTAAAGTAAATTTAGCAAATCCCTACAGCACCATGACTTGAAATGGACTCAATTTTAGAGAAAAATATGTCTTGTTATTACTATGCAAGATTTGTCAATAAGATTAAGCACATTACACATCAAGGAAAACTAGAGTGTTCGGCAGATTCTTTAGGTTTTTAAGAGTTCCATCAGAATAATGTCCCCATTGCCAAGATTATTCATTTTTTCATCAAAGGTGCATGGGAACCTACTATGTACCAGGTAGCCACCTAGGCATGTAGAATGCTTCAACAAAAAATAACAAAGGTCACTACCTTATGCAGTTTATATTGTAATAGGTGGAAAGACACAATAAACAATCATATAATAAATGTGTATATTATATAGTACTTTAGATATGATAAGGTTAAGGAAAAAAAGAAAAAGTAAGCTAAGGTTAGAGAGGCCAGGAATGAAGTGGCTGTAGGGAGGAAGCTGTGGTATTAAATAGGGAATTCACTTCCTATCAACATAATAGAACACCACGTTTTAAGTTCTCAGGAAAATATCACTCTGTGTCAGACCCATAATCTGTTCATCCTATACAACTTCACACAATTGTACTTGGTCTGACTTTAGGCATTGGCATTAATTATGTATGTAAAACTATCAGAGAATGCTAGAATAATCCAATTAGACAAACTGCCCACAAGATTCCAGGGTGAGACAACTTCAGATCTTTGTTCCTGTATAACCGCTAAACTTACAAACACTTCAGTGGAGGACTTAGATGAAATCTACTGAATGCCACACATAAGTAGAAATTGAGGAAAAGATGAGATTTAGTAAGTCTGTGATAGCCCTATTATTACTCACAGAAATTTCTGTGCATGCATGTGTATTTTTATGGGAGAGGGTCCATTAATTTTTCCACATTCTCAAAAGACTTTGCGACCCCCCAAAAGTTAAATTTTACTGAATAAAATATACTCCTTAATATATATGAAGGCTCTTCATGTTCTGTGCCTAGTTTACATTTTCTAGATTCTCTACATGCTCCCGTACTCCAGCCTTGCCAAACTAGTTGCAATTTGCTAATGTTCAAATGTCAGTCCCTTCTAAAAGCCGTGTCTGGTTTTCCTAGATACCTCTTCTTTGGTCCTCTCTGCCTGTGCACTTGCTGTTTGCCCTACTTACAGCATCCTCTTGCCTCCCCACTGCCTCCTGGCTAACTCCTACTCTTCCTCATGAAGCAGTTCATGACTCCACCAGAAGACTTCTGGGTTAACTGATCCCTCTCTACGCTCCCATAGTCCCCAGAGCAGAACCCCTATAATTGCAACTATAATGCAGTATTATCACTGTTTTTTAACTTACTTGTCTCACTCTATTTGCACATAAGCCCTTTAAAGGCAGAGGCCAGGTTTTATTCATCTTTGCATCTCTAGTACCTATTACGGCTCCTGATACTAGAAAAATAATTTATTGAGTGAATAATGAATGAAAAAAGGATATTGCCTTAACCTTAAGAGAGTAAAGGAGCACTGGATTACTAATTCCTACATATGCACTGCTGTGTCACCTTACAGTTAATATACAGAGCAAATGACCCAAAAATTAAAAGTGCAGACACACAAGTACCTTAATCCTGTCCCTCTAGTAAACAGGTACATGCCATAAAATATTTTAATTTGACTTCAAAATGAACAAATCTGTGATAAATCCTCCTAGTCTCTCTGTCAGTTAAAAATGGAAGCATCTTACAGAGAAGAGATCTATGGTTACCTGAGAGGATCTGTGTTGGAGAGTGGGCAAAAGGGGTGAAGGGGGCCAAGGGTAGCATGATGGATGGTAAAAAGAATTTTGAGTGATCACTTTGCAGTGTATACAGATGTTGAATTATAATGTTGTGCACATGAAACATATATAATTTAAAAAAAAGAAAAAGAAAAGAAAGCGTCTTCGTAAGTGTAAAAGAGTCAACCAAGAATTTATCCATTGAAAGGTGCTTTGTCTGCGCTCAAGGAAGAGAAAACATGGCTATCTACTATTCATTTGGAAAAATACTTTTGCTTAGGATTTACAACACTGAATACATGTATGTTAAGCACTGGCATTTAGTTCTCATTAAATAGTACCTTTTGTTGTTCTTATTTTCAAAGTATCCCAAGTATTCCCAGTGAGTAAGAGAACACTAATTAATCTATGGCTGTGCACATTTTTCATTTCTCCTACCTCAGCTCTAGCGTGTTTAAATTTTAGCTGGTATGATTTGATTGGGATTTCAGCCAAAGAACTTTGCATATAGGCATGTTAAATACACATGCACCAACAATACACATATTATACACAGGAATATACTCCAAAACATGTTTAGCTATGCATTGTTTCATACAATACTTTTATCTTTTAAAAAAACATTGACTTATACTTAAGGGGTAAATATATTGCTTAATTAAAAGATTACTTTAGTGATTACGCTCAAGACAAGAATTCAAAATTGGCATATGGAGGTGAATGATTAGAAATGCAATTGTCCAAAGTCCTGGGATGATACTGCCCCCTAGAGGTCAACTCATCACACTGTGTAAGAAAATGAATTTGAGTAAAACTGAGTGAATATGCAGACCAATTTGTTGGATCTAGTGTTGTTAAAAAGAACTGGATGAACTTATCTTCATGTTTCATGATAACTTATTTCCCAGCCAAGGCTATTATAAGAAAGATGTCTTCTAGGAACTCTGGTAGGAACAACGCAGATGTTTAAAGAGTTCATGCAAATCTAAACGAATTTAGTATAGAATCTATGCTAAATTTTGATTCAACACTCAAACAAATGTTTAGCTGTGAGTATTCATACCGATGAAGGATCAACATAATTAATTTTCAGCAAATAAATTTCAAAATATGAAGTTTACATTTTTTATTAAAAAGCAAAATTGTGCCTGTGCTTACCTGTAACGGCTGAAATAGGTCTCTCAGAGCAGCTTAAAGTTCCTCTTTCTGCTACACTGAATAGATATATCAGATAATGATGGAAAGATTTCAGATCTCCGATTTTCATCGATGTGTTGAGTTTTTCAACAAGCACCTCTTCTGATTTATTGTTTTCCACATCCAAAATAGTCACAAGGTAATGGTGAAAAGATGTAAGATCTGGAGGATTCCAGTGTAAAAATATTTCTGTTGGGGTCACATGAGTAACTGTGATATTTTGAGCTGATAATGGGCCTAGGAGATTTTAAAAGATCAGAAAAATACATTATATTAGTGACAGAGTCTGGCAGAGTACTCTCTCACCTCTCAGTACTTCCATAGTAGTCTAGTTTGGAGAGAAAAGGAAAACGATTTGAGTCCTGGCTTTTCCACTGTATGTCTCTACTCCCTGAGTAAATTATTTACACTCCCTGAGCCTCCATTGTTTTGACTGTAAAGTGGGAATTATAGTAGTAGCTATCTTGGAGAATTATTAAGAAGATTAAATGAGATAAGGAATGGAGAGCACTCAGCAAAGTGTTTGACCCACGTTATTGGTTCAATCATTATTTTTATAACAAAACCACCAAAAATGGCACTTCTGGCATTCTATGATCACATCTTCCATGGCTTTTACCTTCTGTGTCTTGTCACACTAGAGAGCAGGGACTTCCTATTCCTTATTCTTCATTCCTGTCATCACTAGACCTTGGGCATTCATCCTCTTGCAGAAATCTTTCCCCACTCCAAACCATTTCATCCAATCCCAGTCAGTGGTTTTCCTAATTCATCCTTCCAGGTTAATTTTCTTTAAAAAGCACCTTGCACATTATCAGCTTCAAACCGGTATCTGTCCTTATCCTTCACACACACACACACACACACACAAGTACACACATTCCTCTTCTTTCTTTACAAGCAATAGTTCAAGAGTTAAAATAAGACCATCTGGGTTCCTGTGTGGCTTAACAAAGTGTGTTGCTCTGGTCAGTTTACTTAACCTTTCTGAAGCTCAGTTTTTTCATTTCTATATAGCTACTCCCAGGGTTGAGGTATGACCTTTGTGAGATTATGCATTAAAAGTGTTTTGTAAAAGGTAAAGCAAGTCTTAGAAACTGCAGTCTTAGTGGATTTCCAATGCTTCTAAGGTCAAGTCCAACCATCTGAGACTCACGTCCCTGGCACTCCCAAATCTGGTACCACTTCACCACTCCAACTGATTTTACTGTCATGCCTGAGGAAATTTTTTCCAGTTAACCTACACTATTCTTTTTCCACAAGCTCCTGTCTCCAAACTTTTGCTCACAACATGCTTTTCTTCCTTCAAGTTTAATCTAAGCCTCTCCTTTCCATGAGTCTTCCCATCACCCATCTTCTGAATTCTAGAAAGCATTTATTAAATGTACCACTTAGTGATTGAGAATTTAGACTCATATTTTCCTACACTTTGCTATCTCATTTGCTTTTACTTTTACTCCTTACTAATTCTCTTCATTATAAGCCTCCCCAAATCCATAATGCATGTCTATCTCCTGCTCTTAGCACATATCAAACTATAGAAATGATCCCTGAAAGTATAGTCTTTCTTAGCACATATCAAAACTTAAGTTCCACAAAAATGTATTGATTATCCACTGTGGGCAACAGTCTAGTCGGTGTTGTTAAGACAAGTAAGATAGGGCGCCTGGGTGGCTCAGTTGGTTAAGCGACTGCCTTCGGCTCAGGTCATGATCCTGGAGTCCCTGGATCGAGTCCCGCATCGGGCTCCCTGCTTGGCAGGGAGTCTGCTTCTCCCTCTGGCCCTCCCCCTTCTCATGTGCTCTCTCTCATTCTCTCTCTCTCAAATAAATAAATAAAATCTTTAAAAAAAAAAAAAAAAAGACAAGTAAGATATAGTTCCTGCCCTCATGGGTTTATAGTTTAACAGGAAAGCCAAAGACAAACGGATTCATCATAATTTAAAATGATTAAAGATTTAGGTATGCCGAGAGTGTTACGAGAAAATACCAGACCCTCAGGAAATATCTGCTAATTATGATATTCAATAATTCAAAACTTTCAGAGGTTTTATAACTTACGTGTTTCAACAAAGAATACTGAACTTAACATAGTTTTTGTCTCCCATTCGTTTATTGCAAAGAGTAAAAATCTGTAAATTTGGCCAGGAAACAATTGGGTAATTGTTTTTTCTGTAGTATTTGGGGATATGCTTTCAAAATATTGTTCTTCTGTATAATCTAAATAATACTTAATGATAATTTTATATCCCAGTTTTAGCCACTTATTCAAATTATTCCAAGCATTCAAATTATGCCAACCAAATACAACTTCAGTTGTTCCAACATCCTTTATATAGATCAAAAGGTTTTCCTGCAGAGAAGGTGCTGAAAAAAACATAGAGGAGGATTATTGTAATTAGAAATCATAATTCTATCTTTAAAATAATAAAAGTGAGATACATGGTATAAGAATATTAATTAAAATAATTACATTCATATTTGCAAATATATGGCAATGGAACAGAGCAGAAAAATCTTGTAAAGAAATAGTTTGATCCAGTTGCATTTTGCTGTAAAATGTAGCAATCTGTTTCATTCTTGGGTAGCAGTGGAAAAGAAAAGATTTCATTCTTCTCAAGGCCAAAAGATGATCCATCTGTCCATGTGAGATGACCTTCTTTCTGAAATAAGATGTAAAAATTAAGCCAATTTGAAGGAGAAGTGTCATATCTTCAAATATATGTATCCTTCATGAGTTATTCTGAGTTGGAGACAGAGTTCACTTTTATTCACCCGTTAGTCATATGTCTTCAAGAAAATTGCTGAATCTCACATTAAGCTTTTATTTTCTCATGCATAAAATGGATATAATAATAGAACCTACATCCTAAATTAATTAAAGAGGCAGTGCATGTAAAGGCTCAACACAATGCCAAGTACAGACCCACTATTCATTACCGATTAGTTATTTCAAGTCACCAAATAAGTCATATGCATATGCATCAGGGGAGGTTGCTGATACCTTCCTACTAAGGGATGCCACTGGTGAGTATCACCAACCTCAATTCTCACAGGTAAGAGATATTAAAACAATCCGTTCCAATTCCACCTAACAGAATGGAGGAATACTGTTTCCCCCAAAAATCCGCTTGATTGCATATATGACACTGCAGCTTTGAAAACAGACAGAGGCTTGAGGCAGCACACATAAGTGCTTAGGGCAAAAAGCACTGGTCAGACAGACACAGATTCAAAGCCTGGCAGGGCCATCTGTTAGCAGTGTGACCAGGATTTTTCTGAGCTCCATTTTCCTTATCTATAAATGAGAATAATGATAGTGCCTCCCTCATAAAGTTGTTGTGAGATCTAAATGAGAGATACCTGTATAAACTTTCCAGACTGGAATACAGAACTATTAATCTTTCATTCACTACGTTCCTGCTGAGTGCCAGGCCCTAACTAGAAGCTGGGGACGCAATGATGAATAAGACACAGTCTTTATCCTCAAAGTCCAGCAACAAACTCACACTTATTCAGCATGAGTGAATGGGGTGATTGTTTTCTCAACCCGTCATAGGGATTATAACCCAAGAGGTGACTTTGATGCTAACCTCAAGAGACCAGCTTCCCACAGAAGTTATAGAGTATAATGGTTGAGAGCAGACTCTGATGCATGTCCACAAGGGCAAGTTAACTTCCCTGTGCTCCAATTTCCTCATATGTCACACAAGTGAAGCACATAGCATGGTGCTCAGCCCTTAGGAGACACTACAGGACTCGGCTACTAGTATAAAGGAAGTTTTTCTTAGTAGTTACTTTGACATTTCATTTACCTCCTAAATTATGTTTAAGTATCATAAAAGCAGAGACTGTATCTTAGACCCCTTTGAATAATTCACAGCAACCATCATGACACCTTGGGAATCCTCACTTTGGCTGTCATGACCATATGACCTGAACCTTAGAGCAGAAACCAGTAACCAGATCTACTAGAAGACAGTTTATAACAATCATGCTAACAGCAGGAAACAACCATATATACACTAACTGGTCTACTTGAAAAGGGACTGGCATGCTGGGAGGCAAGCTTGTGAGATGTCTGAGATCAATTGTGGTTTGAGGAATCTATTAGAACTTCATTCCCTGCCCGTGAAAAGCTAAAGGAAGCTCAAAAAGAGAATGATGAAAATGCAATTAAAGACTGTCAGTAAGGGGCGCCTGAGTGGCTCAGTCAGTTAAGCGTCCGACTCTTGGTTCCATCTCAGGGTCATGAAATCGTGAGATCGAGCCTCGAGTTGGGCTTCACACTCAGTGTGGAGTCTGCTTAAGACTCTCTCTTCCTCTGCCCCTCCCCCACCCATCTCTCTCAAATAAATTTAAAAAAATTTAAAAAAGAGAAAAGAACTGTCAATAGTCTTCCCCAAGCTGATGCAAAGTTCCACAGAAAAAATGGTATCAAACTGATTTGCCTTGGGTCACTACAGGTCAGGCTATCCCATAGAGAACAGATTTATTTTTGAGTGGCAGGAATTTTTTTTTTTAAAGATTTTATTTATTTGACAGAGAGAGATACAGCGAGAGAGGGAACACAAGCAGGGGGAGTGGGAGAGGGAGAAGCAGGCTTCCCGCGGAGCAGGGAGCCTGATGCGGGGCTCGATCCCAGGACCCTGGGACCATGACCTGAACTGAAGGGAGACACTTAACGACTGAGCCACCCAGCTGCCCGAGTGGCAGGAAATTTTTATGAAATGGATCATCAAGAAGAAAATACAGACTAGGCAGAGATAACTGTGCTAGGTGTTGGGTGTTCCTACAAAAAGCTGACCAAAATGAAATTTCATGAGATATTCCATAGTGATAGGAATGTTGGAGAAAATGTCACACATTCCTTATTTCACTGGTATTGAATAGAAAATCTTCAGATCTTTCTATAACTCTTTTAGTAAAATTAACTTTCATAAACCTGGATATTTGAAATAAAAGAAATAAAATGAACAAAATTTCTATATTCCATATTTTCAGGTTCACATTACTATGTTGTTCACAGAGGTGAGAAATAGAGGAAGTGGAGCAGGTTGGTGGGAAGGAGAGGACAGTCTGGGCAATGCTGAAGCATCTATGGAAAATTCCAAAAGAGATAATCAGAAGAAAATTAGATAGGGGCACCTGGATGGCTCAGTCGGTTAAATGTCTGCCTTCGGCTCAGGTCATAATCCCAAGGTCCTGGGATTGAGCCCCTGCATCGGGCTCCCACTCAGCCTGGAACCTGCTTCTCTCTCTCTCTCTGCCTGCCACTCCCCCTGCTTGTGTGCTCTGTGCTCTCTCTCTCTCTCTCTCTCTCTCTCTGTCAAATAAAAAAAATCCTAAAAGAAAAGAAGAAAATTGGATGTCTGGAGCTCATAAGAGAAAAGTGAGCTAGCTAAATATTTAAGAACAATTGGGCTAGGTGGTAAATAAGTGAAGAAATAGATGAGATCACCTACATTTCATACAGGTCTGAGGAAGACCAAAATTAAAGCAAAATTATGGAAAGATATAGATGCCTACAAAGAGATTGAAGGGGGTGGGAAGAGATGAATAGGCAGAGAACAGAGGATTTTTAGGGTGATGAAAATATTCTGCATGATACCATAATAATGAATGTATGTCATTATACATTTGTCCAAACCCATAGAATGTACAGCACCAAGAGTGAAGCATAATGTAAACTATGAACTTTGGGTGATTACGATGTTGTCAGTGTAGGTTCCTCGGTTGTAACAACTGTACCACTCTGGTGGGGGATACTGATAAGGGGGGAAGCTATTTATGTGTGGAGAAAGGGGATATGTGGGAAATCTCTGGTACCTCCCCTCAATTTTGTTATGAACCAAAACTGCTCTAAAAAGATGTGGTGGGGAGGCAGGGAGGGAGGGAAAGATTGAGATAGAGAAACAAAAAGAAACAATGTCTGGGGATGCCTGGGTGGCTCAGTCAGTTAGGCATCTGCCTTCGTCTCAGGTCACGATCCCAGGGTCCTGGGAGCGAGTCTCACATCGGGCTCCTTGCTCAGCCTGGAGCCTGCTTCTCCCTCTGCCTGCTTTGCCTGCTCTCCCTGCTTATGCTCTCTCTTTCTCTCTCTCTCTCTCACAAATAAATAAAAAAATATTAAAAAAAAAAAAGAAAGAAACAGTGTCTGGCTTTTAAGAAGTATTCGATAAATATTTAGTGTATGATGGAGGAAGGAAGGAAGAGGGGGCAGGGAGGAAAAAAGAAAGGGAAGGGAAAGGAAGAGGAGGGTGGGGGGAGGAGAGGGAAGAGAGGGAGGGAGGGAGAGAGAGTGGTAGGGAGGGAAGAAGGAAACAAAAATAGTTCTATCATGATATATGCATTTACTAACCTTCATATCATTAAGACCAGTCCATATTATTATTTGATTATTTGACCTGAGAAGTGAAAATATAAATTTTTTTTCCTCTTCATTTTTTATATCCACAAGGTGTGCAGAACTTAAGGATAACCTACAATGTCGCTGGGCTATATCCCATGGTGTACTCTCTTTGCTAATTTTATAACAGCTATTTCTTAATGCTATCCATCCTTGTGAACATGAACCTACCAAAAGAAAAATGTTTTGTGAAAGATGAATTCAGTAATATAACATTTCATTAGTACATTTCTAACATCTATAGTAGTTAATCATAAAAACCTCACAGCATTAATTGTACACTTTCCCTATATTTCTCCCAAACCAGTAAAAGCGCTAAAGTTGCTATTATTCAAGTAGCAAATGAATTACTAACAATTAAAATAGTTTTTAAGTAGTTTCTAAGAATTAATTATGCAGAATTATTGTCCAATTATAACTTAATTAAAATAAAAACCACAGATTTTTTTTTTCTTTCTAAGTCACTTTAGGTTGCCCTTCCTTTCCCTTACTCTTATGCTGGTGGAGACTTTTTTTAAGTTTATTTTAGAGACTTTTCAGGTTTATTTTTATCTTAGAGAACCAGATATAACACTTGCTAAGAATTCTGCTCTCTACCACTGCTACTTGACTTCAAATGGGTTCACCTTCCAGAAAACACTTAGCCTTCTTCTCTAAGATGGCACACCATTGAAAGACTGAGGAAAATACCAGCCTGTTGAGATTAGATACTGTACTTTAACTCTTGATATTGTATCAGTGCTTCAACCCAACATATTAGGGAGATGTGAGAAGGATCTTTTGAAGAAATTGTTGTTTTTTCACAGGGGGGAGAAGGCGGATGGGAAGAAGGGATGCTTTAATTACCTTACTATCTTTTTCTTCCTACTGACATGTTTCTCTCTCCACTTCACTTGTAAACATGTACTATGTTTCAAAGTTTATTCCTATACAGGGTATTAAAATAGGACTCTTAGCCCATCACAGCATGTTGCCCTGATTAGCTATGACTCTCTCCTCTTCTCTTAAATCCTTTCCCACCATGTAGAGGAAGGAAGTAGATCTAGGAAGCCACAAAAAAAATTTAACATACATTCCCTTTTTCCTTGTAGTATTCTAAATTTTGATCAGGTCTGACCGGGGATGAATAATGAAGAAGCCTTAAATAGGATGAAAGATTGATATTTTTATATTGGATTTTAATGGACCTATTAATACCTGAGAATGAGACTGTTTATTGAAACTTGAAAGTCACCTAAAAAGCTATCAATAATTGCCAGAGTTAAAGAAAAGAGAACCCACTCGGTTCCATTTTTAAAAAGTGCTGGAAGGAAACAAAGTTAATTCTTAAACTTGCTAAATCCAGCTTGTTCAATAAATCAGTCAAATACCAGAATGACATAGTTAGAAAAAAGGGACTATGCTGGTTCATTTACAAGCAGTTTTCTGTGGCTAATACTTGGGTAAGCCACTTTTGAAAAGAACAATACATCTACCAAGTTATCTACAAGATACATAATATATTAATAAAGAACCAGATATCTGCATACCTGTTTCTACTTGAACATCCAGTCTCTGAAATATATTTATAAAATCCAAATACAACTGTTCAAATTCAAATTTAAAAGCATATAAGGTTCCAGGTTTTAAATTATCCCATTCATAAACTGTAACATTATTTTGCATAATTCGTGAAGAATTATTGAGAGATATTGACACTGAAATGTCATTGGAAGACAGCACACTCCAGTTAAAAGAAACACTCGTGCTTGTTGCTACTGTTTTAATATTGCTAGTTGAGAAACCACCTAAAAAATCAAGAACAATAATTAGTCGGATTCAAATAAAACTGAATGAAACACAAAAGATGTTGAATTACAAAAGAATCACCACGATGGGAAAGCAAATTATCTACTATAAAATATTTTCTAGACTATATGGGAGTTTCTTGTCCTCTGCTTGAAATAAATGACTTAGATTATAAATCCGCTTTATAATATTTTTAGATAATCTGGATGACATGTAACATCTCTGCTATGCCTATCTATTCATATTAGTACACATCAAATGTCAAAAATGAAAATCTTCTTCCTGCCTTAATTTATAATTTCCTTTAAATTTTGAAATTTACATTATGTTAAAAAAAAAAAAACACGGGGCACCTGGGTGGCTCAGTCATTAAGCGTCTGCCTTCAGCTCAGGTCATGATCTCAGGGTCCTGGGATCAAGCCCCGCATCGGGTTCCCTGCTCAGTGGGAAGCCTGCTTCTCCCTCTCTCACTCCCCCTGCTTGTGTTCCCTCTCTGGCTGTGTCTCTCTGTCAAATAAATAAATAAAATCTTAAAAAAAAAAACACTACCATCATGATGTTATTTTGGACTATCATATACCTGTTAGTCACCATAAAATTCAGATTATCTGATAATAAAATTGTTTCCCTTTTACAATTAGGCAATGGAGATGAATAACAAATACATATTACTTACGGGTTTTAAATGACTTTTCACTTAAAATTTGTCCATATTTTATGGACTGTAGAATGATGTGATAGTCTTCCTTTTCCTCTAGTATTATTGATTTTGAAAGCTCTTGTGGGTTTACAAGAATGCTTTTGATATTCTGTAAATAATTAGATTTATCTGTTTAAGGAATGTTTATTAACTCTGTGTCAGGTACATTCACTAAAAGTTTGACTTTTGTATATTTCCTTCATAAGAAGCAATTTTTCAAATAGAATGTAATATATACATAAAATATTTATTTTTACATAAAATGATGTTACCTCAAATAATTACTTGTATAGCATATAAATTATTAAAAATAGAATCATTCCTATGAAAAAGTGTAATGGTAATTTGATCAACTACTTAATGAAGATATTTCATAAAATGCTAACATTTCATACACTAATGAATAAAAGTAAGATCCCAATTGCATAGCAAAAGAAAAAATCAACAAAAGAAAAAGCCAACCTATGGAATGGGAGAAAATATTTGCAAACCACACATCTGATAGTGGGTTAATATCCAAAATATATAAGGAACTCCTACAACTTAGTAACAAAAAGCAAACAAACAACAGCAAATAATCCGAAAAAAATGGGCAAAGAACTGAAGAGATATTTTTCCAAAGAAGATAATCAAATGTCCAACAGGCATAGGAAAATGTACTCAATATCATTAGCCATTAGAGAAATGCAAATTGAAACTACAGTGTCAGAATGGCACCTATCAGAGTGGCTATCATCAAAAAGAAGAGACAACAAATGCTATGTAGGGATATGGAGAAAAGGGAACCCTTGGTGCACTACTGCTGAGAATATAAATTTGTGCAGCTATTATGGAAAACAGTATGGAAGGGTCTCAGAAAATTAAAAATAGAACTGCCAGCAATTCCACTTCTGGGTATATATAGATAGGAAACAAAATTACCATCCCAAAGAGATATCAGCACCCCCGTGTTCACTACAGTATTATCTACAATAGCCAAATATGGAAAACAACCAAAGTGTCCATTGATAAGAGGAATGGATAAAGAAAATCTGGTACATGCAAGCGCACACACAGACACACACACACACACAGGAATACAATTCAGCTATAAAAAAGTAGGAAATCCTGCCATTGTGACAACATGGATGGACCCTGAGGGAATTACGCTAAGTGAAATAAGTCAGAGTAAGACAAATACCAATCTCACTTATATGTGGAATTAAAAAAACTAAAATCAGGGGCGCCTGGGTGGCTCAGTCGTTAAGCATCTGCCTTCAGCTCAGGTCATGGTCCCAGGGTCCTGGAATCCAGCCCTGCATCAGGCTCCCCGCTCAGCAGGAAGCCTGCTTCTCCTTCTCCCACTCCCCCTGCTTGTGTTCCCTCTCTCACTGTGTCTCTCTCTGTCAAATAAATAAATAAAATCTTTTTTAAAAATTTAAATAAATAATTAATTAATTAAATCATACAAACAGATCAGATTAGTGGTTGCCAGAGGTGAGGGAATACTGGGTGAAGATAATCAAAAGACACAAATTTCCAATTATAAGATAAATAATTTCTGGGGATATAATGTACAACATGATGAGAATAAGTAACAATACTGTTGTGTACTTGAAAGTTGCTCCAGAGTAGATCATAAAAGTTCTCATCATAAGGAAAAAGCTATTTGTACCTATGTGAGATAATGGATGTTAACTAAACTTACTGCGGTCATCGTTTTGCAATATACATAAATCAAATCATTATGTTGTATACCTTAGGCTTATAAATGTTTTGGGTTTATTTTTTTTAAGATTTATTTATTTATGTGACAGAGAGAGAAAGAGAGCACACAAGTCCAGGGAGCGGCAGGCAGAGGAAAGGGAGAAGCAGGCTCCCTGCCAAACAGGGAGCCCGATCCCAGGACCCTGGGATTATGACCTGAGCCCAAGGCAGATGCCCAACTGACTGAGCCACCCAGGCGCCCCTAGATTTATACGATGTTATATGTCAATTATTATCTCAATAAAATTGGGGGAAAATAAATGCCAATAACTATCAAATTCCTACTGTGATGTGACATTTAGTCACAAATTTACACTATGCTTACTTTTTATCAGAGTAAAAAAAAAGATGCCTTACTTTTTCAGGAAAATTATGAACAAGTTGGTATTTTAAAATATAAAATTCAGGACTTTCTCCCTTAGGAAATTCATCCCATTTAATAAAAACTGCTGTTGTTCGATTATTCCTTGGCATATAACAGAAACTTTTTGAGATCTGAAATGGGAAAGAAAAGTAACTGTAAAACTATAATAAAAATGCATTCTTGGTTATTATTACTATTTTATTAGCAAACAACAAAAATTAAGGCTAAAATATGTCAAATTGTAATTGAAAGTATTTCAGCAATATCAACTTCTACACATGAATTAGGTAACATCCGTTGGATAACTTTGTTACCGTAATTTTGAAAATGACTTAAGAAAGATAAGTAAAAATGGGAGCAAGGAAATTCAAGATCCATGCTTCTCAAAGGGGGAAACACCACGTTCCTGGGGTCAGGGAGAAAGAAGAGACTCAAATCACAGGAAAATCAAAGCACACCCTCCTAGTGTGTCAACTGTGTACTTTGATGATAACGGCTACAGGATTAAATTATTTTACAGATATTCTTGGTAACACACTTGCAATAAAAATAAGTGGAGTACAAAATGTTTGACTCTGAGTTATTTTAGAGGTTCAGTTCATTGACACATAAAGAAAATGTTAGCAACTGAGACAAAATATCTAGACCACAGGATAAGAGATATATTCCCTAGACGATAAGAAAAGACTTCAGACCTCAAGAGAATGATATACTTATCAGAATTCCTACCAAAAACAACCTTAAAATGCCTCACCATACCATGAATTTTATCAAATTCTGATCTCTCTCCTCACTGATTTTCCCAACACAATTTGTAAGCAGTGAAAACAGATGCCATTTATATGCACAAATCTATGCAACATCTAGCAAAGAAAACTGTCTTACGTACCAAAACTAATGTTTAGTGTTATTTCTCTTCAACATACCCCTCATTTTCTAAAACGGGAAGACTAATAGCATCCTGCCCATTAACTATTCAAAAAAATGCTCAAAAATGTCTTACCTTAACAACATATTGTAACCAGAGCAATAGAATAATTGATTTCTCCATCTGGAAAATAAAGTATATTCAGCTCAATTAAACGTGTATTTTTTTTAACCTCAAAACTAAACCATTGGACATTCTTTAGATGTGTATCACTTTAATGTCATATCTTTTCAAGTTAGACTGTTCATCCAACTGAATGTTAAGGCATTAATAAGTAGGTGCTGCGTAATATCCTCCACCTAATAAAACTGGAATCACCAGTACTTTCCAACAAATAACAAAATAATTCGCTTCTAGAAGCTGCTATAATTAAATATACAGGTGTTAGAAATAAAATGAATTATCAGGCAGTTATAGGAAATTGCATAGCATTGTGTGAAACTATTTAACCTTAATTGATGGAAATCTAGAACACCTACACACTGCTACTTCGTTGGAAGTAATTTCTCACATTCTAAAATTACACCATCCTTATGAAAAATATTTCAAAACTACTGACAAAATGGGAAAAACAGGTCTTTTCAACTCACTTTATTTTTAAAGTGCGTTTATCTAAAAAGCTTGTGTCACTTTCCTTAAGAATCTAGACTCCCTGGGTAACTGAGAACTTTACATCCAACGAAGGATACAAAGGAAAAAATTAACAGACTTGGTATTATATATATTTTTTTTTAATTTTTTTTTTAAATATTTTATTTATTTGACAGAGAGAGAGAGACAGCGAGAGAGGGAACACAAGCAGGGCGAGTGGGAGAGGGAGAAGCAGGCTCCCCGCGGAGCAGGGAGCCCGACGCGGGGCTCGATCCCAGGACCCTGGGATCAGGACCTGAGCCGAAGGCAGACGCTTAACGACTGAGGGTTTTAAAACCCTCCTGAGAGCCCACTGTAAAGCAAGTTTCTTCCTACAAAATCCTCTTTAGTCCTATCAAGGTGTTTACCTCAGATAAAATTCAACCCAGTTAAAAAGAAATACGTAATAATCCAATCCAGACACCGCCACAAAGCTGCAAAGTTTTAACCTTGTTCATTTTTCCCAATAACCTGATGTAACTACCCGCGGGGTTACGGTGTCAATCCCCGCGCCGACTCCAAGGGTAAACGAGCATTTCGAAAGCTCTGTACCCTAGTAAGAATGCCGAAGTGGGAAGCTCGCTCCCGGCTGCCTGTTCGTCAAGTCCAATTCCCCGCTCAAATTCAATTCTGCGAGTCACAGGGTCCGCGCCCCTGGACGGAGAAAGTGAGCAGCTGCCCTGCGGCGCAGTGCGTGAGAGAGAGGCCGCTGGAGGCAACTTTGGGCCCAGGGAGAGCAGAACAGAGTTGAAAGGAGAGGACTCAGGTTTTAAGAACGGCGGCGCTGAGAGGAGAGCACAGCCCTGAAGTCAGGGCGCGGAGCGCACAGCCAGGGGACCGCTGCGTGCGGGTGCCCGCCCGGCCCGAGCCCGCCCCACCACGCAGCCGCCGCGCTTTGCGAGGTTCGCGCGCACGTGCGGGGTCGGGCAGGCGCAGAGGCGGCGCGGGAGCGCGCGAGCCCGCCACCGCCGCCCAGCAGGCGGCCGGGCTCCTTGCAGCTTCCGCCCGGCTCCTCTCAGCCAGCCGTCCGCTCCGCTCCCGCTCCCGCTCTTTTCGCCGCTGCTCGCAGCTCCGCGGGTTTCGTGCAGGCCGCAAGGCCCTGTCCCTCGGCTCATTAAGAGAAGGTCTCCATGGAAACGCTGAGCTGCGGCGGGTAGAAGGGGAGTGGGAGGCGAGTCCCACCACAGCACTGGTGTGTGGAGGAGCGTGGCACTCGGCGTGGAAGAAGGGAGGGGAGGGGAGGGCAGTGAAGGAGAACCCGAGTGGGACATTTGGCCTCTCACATGTGGCTGTGAACAGCCCTGAGCGGACGCAGTTTTGAGTTAAGTTCACTCATGTGGCTATGTATGGAGCCACTTTCTTTCAGTGTTAACACGTCGTGTGGTTTAATTGCTTAAACCATTGTTTGTTTTCTGCAGCATTTGAAAGTGTTGATTGAACTCTTCCTCCTTTCTGAGATCTTCTCCACAGTTAGCATCCCTGACAGCACTCTCACCTGGATCTTCCATTTTCTCAATCCACATTATCCTCTGACATTTCCACCTTAAAAGTGGACTTGACCCATGGTGCCTTCGTTGAGTCTGGGGTATTTCGTTCACTTTTGTGATTACAGTCCTATTCTAGACTGCCTGTCACTCCTTCTTGCCCCTCATTTCTTTCCGGGACTCCAGAGCAGTATTTACGGCTCTGCACTGGCCATCTTCGCCCCGATGTCCCCAAAAGGCAATTCCAAACCATCTTTCCAAAATGAAATTCATGATCATCCTTTTCCCAGCCCTTCCTGAGTAGAGCGTCAGCCAACCAAACAAAAAAATTATCAACTCTGCGTCCTCAGATTCTTTCCCTCACTACCCAAAGTCAATTTTGTCCTCAAAAATCTTTTTTTGATTCTACCTCTAAAACTTCTCTTAGGGCAATTACTCCCTCTCTAGTCCCAGGACCATGGGCTTAGGTGATAACCTTAGCTATCTCTCTCTGGAAAGTATATGCCATGTTTAAGAGTTGGAATCTCAGTTCATTCATTTCTTTGACAGAGAGAGACACAGCAAGAGCGGGAACAAAAGCAGGGGGAGTGGGAGAGGGAGAAGCAGGCTTCCTGCTGAGCAAGGAGCCTGATGCAGGGCTCTATCCCAGGATGCTGGGATCATGACCTTAGCCAAAGGCAGACGCTTAAGCGACTGAGTCACCCTATTAGGAAATATGTTGTTTGGCATCTTATTTAAATAACTATTATGAAAAGAAACCCACATCTTCACCAGAGGTTGGGTGGACATATATGTATAACCACATCTCTGATAGAAATGTAACAATTATACAAGTAATACCCATCCCTTCCTCACCTTCAAATTCCAGTCATCCAATCAAGTTTTGAGTGCATGCTATGTGTCAAGCACAGTGCTAAGCACTGAAGCTATAGCAACAATGTTATTAGTTCTCCCTAATCATACTGTGATCCTGTGCACAACCGTATTCCTCTTGTTCTTGTTCTTACTATCTAAATCCAGGTCCTCTTTCCCTCTCATCTAATCTTTGGGCTCCTGGACCCAATTCCAATGTGTGTGAATTCTCGGGATACCAGCTTGGTGTCCTACAATTCAACTCAATTCTGACACTGTCTACACAAAGATAGAGTCAAATTCCACAGGCTAAGCATTCAGTCCTACAAGACTCCCCCCACCATGCCATTCCATATGTCTGTCACAAGCCCAGGTTGCTATCCATGCTTCTGACCTACTGGCTGTAGGTTCAACTGAACTCCCTGAGTTCAATTAATTTGCTAGAGTGGCACACCCAACTCAGAAAATCAGTTTACTCACTAGATGACAGGTTTATTATTATAAAAGGATGGAACTCAGGAACAGCCACATGGAAGAGATGCAAGAGCAAGGTATGTGGGAAGAGACATTCATGTCCTCTTGGAGTACACCGCTCTCCCCAAATCTTCATGTGTTCACCAACCCAGAAGCTCCCCCAATAGTTGATTAAATCAACTGTGGCCATTGGTGATTGATTCAACCTCAAAGCCCTCTCCCCTTCTGGGAGGTGGTGATGTGATTGAAATTTCCAACCCCCTGATCATATGGTTGGCTTCACTGGCAACCAGCCCCCATTCTTAGAATCTGTCCAAAAGTCACCTCATTAAAATAACAGAAGACACCTTTATAGCTCCCATCACTTAGGAAATTCCAAGGGAAACAGTGATGAGGACCAAATATATATTTTATTATAGATCACAGTATCACACTAAGATAACTGGCATCCCTTCATTCCTTCTTATTAGATTGGTCTAAAACAGGTCTCCTTATCTCTAGGGGCACCTGGGTGGCTCAATCAGTTAAGCGTCTAACTCTTGATTTGGGTTCAGGTCATGATCTCGGGGTCTTGAGATTGAGCCCAGCCTCAGCTCTGTGCTGGGTGTGGAGCCTGCTTAAGATTCTCTTTTTCCCTTTCCCTCTCCCTCTGCCTGTCCCCCTCCTCTCTCCCCCCCAAAATACAAAACAAAACAAACAAGTCTCCTTATCTCTGGTTTTTCATCTATTTTCAACTGTCTTCAGATTAATCTTCCTAGAGTTCAGTTCTGATAATGTTACTTTACAGCTCACAGTGTCTTCATTGGCTCCTCAGCCTCCCTAATTCCTTACTGTGCCCATTGAAGTCCTCCAGAAACATTTCGGCTTACTTCATACATGTTCAGTTCACTGTTTTTCCCTGCAATACTTTCTCTTATTTCACCATCTTCATGAAACTTTTCCTGGTATTCCTAACAAGAGCTCTATCCCCCCTCCTCTGTGCTTCTGTGGTACTTATTGCCTCTAATACATGGCTCATTGAATTCTATTTTTTATATAATTATCTGTGAACATCTTAGTATCTCTATCAGATTGTAGTCTCCCTGAAGGTAAGTCTTATTTCCTATTGATTTGCATATTACTCACAAGCCAATTGTGATACCTTACATAGTGAGCACTCAACAAGTATTTTTTGAATAAATACTTGTAGAGGGAATATTATAAAACTCTGCCACCTCCTTTTTCTAGGTGACACTTGAGACTTACTTCATTATAAATATTTTTCAATGTTTTTGAAACAAATACAAGTTTTAAGATGAGTCATGTCACTCTAAACAACCTAATGTATGACTTATGAGTCCTCTAATCTGGTTCTGCTTTGACTCTGAAGAGTCTTTTTCTGAACCGTTTGTGATGTGCATGAGACTCTTTCTTTCCTAATGATTTACTCTTTAGAGTAGCAAGATTTGTCACATTTCAGACTGTGGAAAATTATATTGTTTTAAGGTTAAAATGGAACAGTGCTTAAAAGTTAAAGACCAGCACAAAAATATTCTTTCTCAAATCTTCTAGATAAATTAGATGTACTGTTTTTATCTTTCCTTGTTTTCTGTCTCCTGTTCTTACGTGTCTTCTTAAATGTCCTCTTTCAAAGGAGATACTTCAAATTTTCTCACAAAAATAACACTTTTATAAGCTGACATGTAATCAAAGTGAGCCAGATTTCTATCATTATTTAAAGGAAAGCCATTGTTGCTGTAGAATTTCTAAGCTTTATTTTGCTGGCCTGGGTTACAAAAGAAAGAAAATAAAAGATGGATTAGCAGCATGTTTTTCATCTGTATTTGTTTCTTAAATGTGATGCCAAAAAGCTTGGTGTTTTAGTTCTATAACTAGGATTGGCCTTTTCTACAATGCAAAATTTCCTAATAATTTGTGGTATTATCTTTTTAGCATATTTATTTATACAATATGAAAAGTAGTTATTGCAACAGATCTTTTATGAAATGATTTAATCATCCAAATTAATCCAAATGAATTTGCTTTGAGTGAAAGTGATATATTTAATAAAGTGTTATTGGCTGCATTTCAGAATCCAATATTAAAACTCAGATTTATCTGTATTTATTGGTGTGGACTAAAATGCAAATGTCATATTGAGAATTGAGACTAAACAAAAAGGATCTGCATCTCTGGAATGGGATGGTTGTGAAATAATTTGAGGTCTGGTCCATCACGTTTATGGCTTTTCTGATAGATTTATTAACAAGTATGCCAGGATGGGTGGGAATTTATTTCTAAATGAGATTATCAGTACATTTAATATGTTTAATGAATTTTATAAATTTTTACTGAGAAACCTTGATGAAGAAAATATCTTAGCTGGAGGGACAGGAAAGCTGAAGCAAGAAAACTTGTAACTTCCTTACTACAAGGTCTTTATATCCAGACGGGAAGATCCACTATCTTTATACCCTGAAAAATGAAAGAAAAAAGTTAAAGACCAACATAAAAACATCCCTCCTTAAAACTTCTAACTTGGATGAATTAGTGGGACTGTTTTTGTCTCTCTTTTTAGGACACTAGAGGATAAGGGAGCTCTGTGAGCTCATAGGGATGGCCAATGACCCTGGCGGTCCAAGCATGATACTCTAACACCTACTGTTGGCACAATTCTAGGATGACACTGACACCTAAGATTTCCATCCCCTGTTATTCATACCCTGTATAATCCCCTCCCCCTGAGGTTTGGTGGACCTGTGAAAATGATGAGATCATCACTACCATGATTATTTACATTATAGAAGACTTCCCTGTAGCAGAACAAAAGAGGCATTCTCCTGCTGACTTTGAAGAAGTTGCCATGATATGAGAGGGCCAGGTGGTTAGAACATGAGCCTTGCCTCCAGGGGCTGAATGTGTGCCCCAGCCTACAGCCAGCCAGAACACGTGATCTCAGTCCTACAGTCTCACGGAATTTAATTCTGCCAACAATGTGAATGAGCTTGAAACAGAGGACCCATAGCCTCAGATGAGATCACAGTCCTAAATAACAACTTGATT